GGCAAGGGTGAGAACTGGGACGGGGCCTTAGGCTCAGAGGCGTCCCGTGCCAATAGGCAAGGCAGGCAGCTGGGGCCCCCCAAACCGGCAGGGGGCCCCCAAGGGCCGACTGATTAGACACAAACCGAGGTGAAGTTAGCCGAACGTTTGATATTCGCCTGATATTCGAACAAAATCCCCCTGGATTCAAAGTCTGTCCGTATTTTCAGTTTAGTGAAGAGTGTAGTATTAAATACTGTTCACAATGTTGCCACCTATATAAAAAAAAACTTGACTTAGGCTGCAGCTGACGATTTATAACACGAAAAACAATGAAGATGAAGTCTCCGCTCATACTTGTGCTAAGCTCTCAGCAAGGGACTGTCTGCAAAGTGCAAGATTTGACAGAACGTTGCAGATGGGTTGGTGAATACAATAAAAAGGGTGTGTTTAAAAAGTAAATGTTCCCAGATTTGATGGGTGTAGTAGCTCCCACTGAATGATAGCTAGCTACTACAGGCAAAATTTGGGAAAAATATTGTTTTCCCCTTCACAGTAACAAAAATGAAATTGGAAAAGTTAACTAAAAATCAACAAAGATAATTTTCCCAGCTTTGATGGGTGTAGTAGCTCCATTTGAACAATAGCTAGCTACTACAGCCAACATGTTGGGAAAAATATTGTTTTCCCCTTCACAGTAACAAAAAGGAAATTGGAAAAATTCACTAAAAATCAACAAAGATGTTTTTTAGTTAACTTTTCCAATTTCATTTTTGTTGCTGTAAAGGGGAAAACAATATTCTTCTCAAATTCTTGCCTGTAGTAGCTAGCTATTGTTCAAATGGAGCTACTACACCCATCAAAACTGGGAAAAACACCTTTGTTGATTTTTAGTTAATTTTTTCAATTTCATTATTCCTACTGTGAAGGGGAAAACAAAACTTTTCCCAAAATGTTGCCTGTAGTAGCTAGCTATCATTGAATGGGAGCTACTACACCCATCAAATCTGGGAAAAAAGTCTTTGTTGATTTTTAGTGAATTTTTCCAATTTCATTTTTGCTATTGTGAAGGGGAAAATCAAAATTTTCCCAAAATGTTGCCTGTAGTAGCTAGCTATCATTGAATGGGAGCTACTACACCCATCAATTATGGGAAAAATATCTTTGTTGATTATGGTCTTTATTAGTCGTTTTGACGTCTTGCAATTTGCAGACGGTCCCTTGCTAATATCAGGCGAATATCAAACGTTTGGCCAACTTCACCTTGGTTAGACACAAGCGGTCGACTTGTACAGGCAACAACAGTTACCCAGTGATGGCAGATAAAAAGTTTTCATCTGATGCAACTCTTGCCGCGTTCTTCATGAACAGTAAAAAGGTCATGTACTGAATGTGACAGTGGTCTAGTGGTGAAGTTGCAGCGCTCAAAATGCTCTGACCCTGGTTTGAATCTGGACGCTAGTGTTATTTTGAATTAAACTCTATATTATTTTATATGACAGATTTCTCAAAAATGGCAAAAGGTAAAAACAAGCCATTTTTTTGCTAATTAAAGCTAAGAGCCTAATCTTTAATCTAGACCAGGGGTGGCCGACCCGCGGCTCGTGGGCCGACCCGCGGCTCGTGAGCCGCATGCGGCTCTTTGGCTGATTCCGTGCGGCTCTTGGGCTTTCACACGACAAGCTTCAAAAACGCCTCGGTGGTGGCACTGCCATTCATTCTCTATGTAGTTCTGACCCATAGTAAAGGCCGACTTCACTCCACTAGCCGGGCCACCAAAACAATCTGACGTCGGCGAACGTCAATTCTGATTGGTCAGATGCGCTGTCAATCACTCTGCAGCTGCTGCCTCAGCTGTTGCAAATATAACAAACAACACGTTGCCTCGACCCATGACGTCCGTACGGAAAACAGTTCCTGGATGAGGGCAACACCTTCCTCAGTTTGAGGAGAGGACACCAGCGTGAGCTCGATGGTTCCACCAGAAACCAGAAGGTGTTTGTGGAGCTAGCACTAAGGACGGAGCAGAATGACTCCCACAAACATCACAATGCAGAGAAAAATTAAAAAGCTTAAAAGTGACAACCGTGACATGAAAGATCGCAGCAGCAGAAGTAGAGGCAGAACCGAAAAGTCTGGAGGTGGTTTGACCAAATGGATTACATTTACGGACACCGGCTAACACCAGCTAACATGCTAAAACCAGCTAACACCAGCTAGCGTTACACCAGGAGATAAGCCAACTCTGCCTGGTGAGTGTCTGTCTTCAATCAAATGCAAAAGTATCTGGTCTTATACTGAACATGTGTCTGGTTCTAAATCAGCTAAAGTGGTGTTGGTGTTATGTGTCACATCTATATCTTTTACTAAACGCAGTCAGAGTGAATCATGGTTCGATAAAGACAGTTGTGTTTCTGCTGAACACTGGGTTGAAACTCGATTTTTTTTCTTGGTTAGAGATTGAACCATTAATAAAAAGTACCAGGGAGCGGCTGAAGCGCCCGCAAACCAGGGAGAGTCGAGTCCAGTCCTTTAGTGCTGTACGAGTCCATTTCTGTCATTATCATGTTGATGACATTTACAATAAATCTGTCTGAGCAGAGGTGTGTGTGTGTGTGTGCGTACGTGTGCGTGCGTGTGTAAGGGTTGGGGTGATGTTTATGTAGTGCACATTTGTATGATGTGGCTCTTTGCTGTAACACAGTAAAAAAAATTGGCTCTTAGTCTCTGACTGGTTGGCCACCCCTGATCTAGACTATATAAACACTGAGGGCCAAATGAAAGATTAGATTTTAAAGATAATACACTTTGATAGGTAGTTTTTGTAATTAATTATAACATGTGTGTAGTGAACAAGCTTGTAAAAAGACATGCTAAATTATTCCTCATTGCTTTGCGTTTCCTCCAGGTGCTCCGGTTTCCCCTTCCACTAAAAACATAGATCTGGCAGCGCCCCCTGTAGGCGACCTTGCTCCATCTCTCTATGGAGTGAGAGACAAATGCCCACAACAGTTGTAAACCACTTTGTGACTCTGGTCTGTGAAAAGCACTACATAGATAAAGATTACTTACTCCCAAATTATCATGGGGATAAAAGTCAGGTACCCCAGCTTTAAAGCAGCACACACAGACCTTCTGCGATGTTTTTCTCCTGCACTTATGTCGGGATGAGGTTCAGGAAGAGACTTAAACTAACACAGACAGTGACACTTGCTATTCCGGGCGTCGCACTCCTCAGACAGATTGTTTAATTATTCTAACGAATCTAATTATAAAAGACAGATAAGGGCTGAGTAAACAGGACAGCCTCGGCGTCTCATTCTCTCAACCAGACCTTGTACTTTTTAAACCACAGCAAAACGATAAAAATATGTCGGTTCAGTGAATTAGCTTAATTCGTGCTCTGATTTTAAAGGGGATGTATGACAAAATATTGGGACAGTTTTAGAGCCAAGAATTATAGCGGCAGTGGCTCGGTTCGTAGAGCATTGGTGTTTGAGCCTGATGGTTGTGGGTTCAATCCCCACCCTGAGACCTTCTCCACTAACTCCCACTGCTGTCGTTGTGTCCTTGGGCAAGACACTTACCCCCACTTTGCGTGAAGCCCTCACTGAAATATCAAGGGTCAGCACCTGCAGGAGGATCAGTGAGGGAATGGTGCTCTGTGGACTGGTGCCGCTCTGACTGCCACCCCCCACCGGGAAATGGATTAAGGGGAAGAAAATGGATGTATGGAACTAGTGACATGGGTTTTATTCCAGTCTTTGGTGATAGCAGACCCAAGTTTAAGCAGAATTGGGAATTGTCACTTAAAACACTCGCTTTGATTATTAGAGTTAAAGCAGCAGTATGTTCAAATGTGGCCAAAAGTGGTACTGCAGCCTCTCCCACTCTCCCTGACTCAGGTTGCCAGATATGCAGACGAATCCAGCTGGGACCATAACAGCTGAATAGACAAGAGTTTAGTCAACAACAAATCTATAACCAACACCTTTTTCACAAAGATAGAAATCCTGGTTTTATTCCTTGTTTTGTCGTTAATGATTTGAGAATCATAACGAGACCTTTTTTAGTTCTGCGCCACATGGTACTTTACCAGTGAGATTAGCTCCACGCGGTGAGTTCTGGCGCCCGGATCACGGACTTTCTGATTGGTGAAACGGTGGAGGGCGGGACATCGAAATGAACCTTGATTTGTGATGTCTGGGACAAATTAAAATAAAGAAAAAAGACATCGGCCACGTTCTATTTTAAATCAGAATGTGTCAGATTAAGATTTTTATTTTTTCTAAATCTTTATTCAGGCAAATATTACCTCATATTTGATCATATTTTGCAGTCAGGGCCCGTTACAACATTTACTGCATCTATATTTACCTCCGGCTCCAGACTCGGAGAAAAGTCACCAAATGCTAAATACATGTATTTATTTATTATTGGCAGCGGAGCAAAATGACATGCAAATGATGTGGAAATAATACAGCATTCGAATGAGGCTGACATTACATGGGGAGGGAGGGAGGTGGGGGGAGGGAGATGGGGGGAGAGATGAGAGAGATCAGGAGAGAGACAGGTAGGGAAACGAGGAGAGAGATGTGCTAAGATAGATGGAGAGTGAGACGTGAAGGGAGATGGGGAAGAGATGGGGTGAGAGATGGGAGAGAGACGAGGAGATGAGGAGATGAGGAGAGAGACGAGGAGATGAGGAGATGAGGAGAGAGATGAGGAGAGAGATGGGAGAGAGACGAGGAGATGAGGAGAGAGATGAGGAGAGAGACGAGGAGATGAGGAGAGAGATGAGGAGAGACACGAGGAGATGAGGATAGAGATGAGGAGAGACACGAGGAGATGAGGAGGGAGATGAGGAGGGAGATGGGGAAGGAAGCAGCGGTGAAATGCGGCCGATTCAATAATAATAATAATGTGGTTATTATCAAACAGACACATATTCTACACCGTACAATGTGTATCACCTCTCCCCATGTCCTGGTCTCCCCCCTCCCCCTCCCTCACCTCTCCCCATGTCCTGGTCTCCCCCCTCCCCCTCCCTCACCTCTCCCCATGTCCTGGTCTCCCCCCTCCCCCTCCCTCACCTCTCCCCATGTCCTGGTCTCCCCCCTCCCCCTCCCTCACCTCTCCCCATGTCCTGGTCTCCCCCCTCCCCCTCCCTCACCTCTCCCCATGTCCTGGTCTCCCCCCTCCCCCTCCCTCACCTCTCCCCATGTCCTGGTCTCCCCCCTCCCCCTCCCTCACCTCTCCCCATGTCCTGGTCTCCCCCCTCCCCCTCCCTCACCTCTCCCCATGTCCTGGTCTCCTCCCTCCCCCTCCCTCACCTCTCCCCATGTCCTGGTCTCCCCCCTCCCCCTCCCTCGCCTCTCCCCATGTCCTGGTCTCCTCTCTCCCCCTCCCTCACCTCTCCCCATGTCCTGGTCTCCTCTCTCCCCCTCCCTCACCTCTCCCCATGTCCTGGTCTCCCCCCTCCCCCTCCCTCGCCTCTCCCCATGTCCTGGTCTCCCCCCTCCCCCTCCCTCACCTCTCCCCATGTCCTGGTCTCCCCCCTCCCCCTCCCTCACCTCTCCCCATGTCCTGGTCTCCCCCCTCCCCCTCCCTCACCTCTCCCCATGTCCTGGTCTCCCCCCTCCCCCTCCCTCACCTCTCTCCCCATGTCCTGGTCTCCCCCCTCCCCCTCCCTCACCTCTCCCCATGTCCTGGTCTCCTCCCTCCCCCTCCCTCACCTCTCCCCATGTCCTGGTCTCCCCCCTCCCCCTCCCTCACCTCTCCCCATGTCCTGGTCTCCTCCCTCCCCCTCCCTCACCTCTCCCCATGTCCTGGTCTCCCCCCTCCCCCTCCCTCACCTCTCCCCATGTCCTGGTCTCCTCCCTCCCCCTCCCTCACCTCTCCCCATGTCCTGGTCTCCTCCCTCCCCCTCCCTCACCTCTCCCCATGTCCTGGTCTCCCCCCTCCCCCTCCCTCACCTCTCCCCATGTCCTGGTCTCCCCCCTCCCCCTCCCTCACCTCTCCCCATGTCCTGGTCTCCCCCCTCCCCCTCCCTCACCTCTCCCCATGTCCTGGTCTCCCCCCTCCCCCTCCCTCACCTCTCCTCATGTCCTGGTCTCCTCCCTCCCCCTCCCTCACCTCTCCCCATGTCCTGGTCTCCTCCCTCCCCCTCCCTCACCTCTCCCCATGTCCTGGTCTCCTCCCTCCCCCTCCCTCACCTCTCCCCATGTCCTGGTCTCCTCTCTCCCCCTCCCTCACCTCTCCCCATGTCCTGGTCTCCCCCCTCCCCCTCCCTCACCTCTCCCCATGTCCTGGTCTCCTCCCTCCCCCTCCCTCACCTCTCCCCATGTCCTGGTCTCCCCCCTCCCCCTCCCTCACCTCTCCCCATGTCCTGGTCTCCTCCCTCCCCCTCCCTCACCTCTCCCCATGTCCTGGTCTCCCCCCTCCCCCTCCCTCACCTCTCCCCATGTCCTGGTCTCCCCCCTCCCCCTCCCTCACCTCTCCCCATGTCCTGGTCTCCCCCCTCCCCCTCCCTCACCTCTCCCCATGTCCTGGTCTCCTCCCTCCCCCTCCCTCACCTCTCCCCATGTCCTGGTCTCCTCCCTCCCCCTCCCTCACCTCTCCCCATGTCCTGGTCTCCCCCCTCCCCCTCCCTCACCTCTCCTCATGTCCTGGTCTCCCCCCCTCCCCCTCCCTCACCTCTCCCCATGTCCTGGTCTCCCCCCTCCCCCTCCCTCACCTCTCCCCATGTCCTGGTCTCCTCCCTCCCCCTCCCTCACCTCTCCCCATGTCCTGGTCTCCCCCCTCCCCCTCCCTCACCTCTCCCCATGTCCTGGTCTCCCCCCTCCCCCTCCCTCACCTCTCCCCATGTCCTGGTCTCCTCCCTCCCCCTCCCTCACCTCTCCCCATGTCCTGGTCTCCCCCCTCCCCCTCCCTCACCTCTCCCCATGTCCTGGTCTCCCCCCTCCCCTCCCTCACCTCTCCCCATGTCCTGGTCTCCTCCCTCCCCCTCCCTCACCTCTCCCCATGTCCTGGTCTCCTCTCTCCCCCTCCCTCACCTCTCCCCATGTCCTGGTCTCCCCCCTCCCCCTCCCTCGCCTCTCCCCATGTCCTGGTCTCCCCCCTCCCCCTCCCTCACCTCTCCCCATGTCCTGGTCTCCTCCCTCCCCCTCCCTCACCTCTCCCCATGTCCTGGTCTCCTCCCTCCCCCTCCCTCACCTCTCCCCATGTCCTGGTCTCCCCCCTCCCCCTCCCTCACCTCTCCCCATGTCCTGGTCTCCTCCCTCCCCCTCCCTCACCTCTCCCCATGTCCTGGTCTCCTCTGGCCCCGGTCCCACCCCCCCACACCTCTCCCCATGTCGTGGTCTCCTCCCTCCCCCTCCCTCACCTCTCCCCATGTCCTGGTCTCCTCTGGCCCCGGTCCCACCCCCCCCCACACCTCTCCCCATGTCCTGGTCTCCCCCCTCCCCCTCCCTCACCTCTCCCCATGTCCTGGTCTCCTCCCTCCCCCTCCCTCCCTCACCTCTCCCCATGTCCTGGTCTCCCCCCTCCCCCTCCCTCACCTCTCCCCATGTCCTGGTCTCCTCCCTCCCCCTCCCTCACCTCTCCCCATGTCCTGGTCTCCTCTGGCCCCGGTCCCACCCCCCCACACCTCTCCCCATGTCGTGGTCTCCTCTGGCCCCGGTCCCACCCCCCCACACCTCTCCCCATGTCAGGGGCCGGTGCCAGTCGTCAGCAGGTGCACTTACGTCCTGCCAGCTGCAAATCTGCTCCCAATTTGTTGTGCTCATGAAGCGGGTGCCAGAGTTCACCGCTGGGACGGCATTAGCTTCACTATAACGCCATTACTCAAGTGTTAATCCAGTCACGCTTCTGTTGGCCACAAACTACGGCTTTCTACATGACAAGTTTATGAATTACAATTAGAGATTTGCTTCTCAGGCCAGACAAGGAAGAGGACGGGTCGTAAATCAAATCAAGATGAGTATTGGAAGGAGAGCAGGCTTTTTAATCAGTCTACATTTCCTCAATTTAAACTTCATAACTTGGTATTGTTTGTATAATGTGGAGTTTGTGATGGAGACGCCGGGGCCCAGAGGGAGCCCACACAGACACAGATAACTCCAGACTCCACACGGATAACTCTGATGTTTACGTTTTCAGGTGACTGAGTATACTGACGAGAGGTCTCCCATCACAGCACTAACCAGGCCCTGTCCTGCTTAGCGTCTCAGGTCTGAGGGAATCTGGCTTTAACATGCAAGGAAAAGTCTGGCTTGGCTTCAAAACTAGTCAGGAAATAGGAGAGAGAGAGTGAGTGTGTGTACATTGAGTTCTAATCGTGTTATTCAAATACATTAGAGCTCGGGGTAGAGTCGCTGCATCAGGTTAGAAATCTCGGAGTCATAATGGACGCGGACCTCATCTTCTATAGCCACATCGGATCTGTAACTCTGAGGAGCACAGGGACTGGCCTCCTGCTGGGACTCTGAGGAGCACAGGGACTGGCCTCCTGCTGGGACTCTGAGGAGCACAGGGACTGGCCTCCCGTAGTCCTGGTGTTGTTGTGATGATTTGTGTGTCTGTGAAGTGCTTTGTGTTACCTTGTGTAGGAAAACCACTCTGTAAAATACGATTGATTGGATTGATTGATCAAGAGGTGCTAGATTTATTTATTTTGAGCAAGTAAGTGAAATAATGAAATAATTAATACAAAAATAGTAAATGATACAAACATAACTGGATGAGTTTGTGTTTGTGTGATTTCCGGGTCCAGACTCTCCAGGGCCGGTCCAGTGAGTCTAACACTACACTGGGGTAGACCTAGTCCTGCTGTGGGTTATGAAGCTGGTGCGGGGGAACGCTTTGATGGTGGCACCGCTGTGTACCATCTATCCGTCCCAAGGCAGATGCGACTTCATCTCTAGATCACCACTATAGTTTGTGCGTGGTGAACGAGTGATACACAACATTATTATATGACTTGTATCGTACGCGCGCTCTGATTGGCTGATTTGCGGACCGTTACCATGACACTTTGTCCGCAGTACGTATCAGATTTGATTTATTTCCTTGGTAAAAATGAAATAATGGGCGACGACTGGGAGAATTCTCAGTGAATTTTATTATCAGGATGAGTTCAGAGGAGTTAGAGGAAGTAATAACAGCAAATAACGACGAACACACAACTCCTCACAGTCAAGAAGAGATCGACAACTTCGTTACAGACCAGAAAGGTAAAAACAGGATTAAGGAAAACCAAGTGGGACATGAACATACTTCACAAATATCTAAAAAGCATTGGTAAAGACACAGACTGGGAACTTACAGTGGGCGCCTCAATCCTCTGAGAAGTTCTTCATGTCACCGTTGGACAGTTTGGTCAAATGTGTTTTTAGTTGAAACCGATCGATATTTGCACAAATCAAAAATAGTCATATAATAAAACATTTAATAACCTCGCGCTAGTTTAATAAGCCGTCAATCTTAGCATCTTTGACTCTGAAATGAAACAGTTTGTAAGGTGATTTTAAAATGTGCGCCCATGGGTTTCCTCACGCTTTGAAAATATTGCATTTCCAATTAGCCCGGATTCAGTCTGTCCTTGAAAACATTCGCATAATCGCCGCGGTCCATGAATCCCGAACGGACGACTCACCGTGGGCTTCGTTTAATTGACTTCATTCGACAAACTCTTTGAACATTTCTCGTCTTCGCGTCGTTTCTCGGGCTCCGACGCGACTTTTGTCCGTACTGCCGCCAAATGACTCCGAACTTTTAACTAAACACAAATGAACGGGATGCGATGGCCTTTATGTCTGACGATCAAAGAAATGCAAATGGCCGTCATTGATCTCGCGGCCAATTTATTCTGATGCGTTTTATGAGCGGGCCAAGCTTCAAAACGCAAAGACGCTCAAACAATACTTGATCAATAAAGGGCTTTTTGATGTGAACGTGGGCAGTGGCACTAGTTAAAAGGATGTGATGTAAGGTAGGGCCAGGCTGAGGAAATGATACAAGAGAGGGTTTGTTATGGTAGCGGCGGGTAACGACCACACAAAGGACCTATGGGGAGTTAGCATTAGCAGGTTGGTATTGTCCATTCTGATGTATACAGACGTCTCCTCTCGCCGTCTCTTCTCGCCGTCTCTTCTCTCGACGTCTCCTCTCGCCGTCTCCTCTCGCCGTCTCCTCTCGCCGTCTCCTCTCGCCGTCTCCTCTCGCTGTCTCCTCTCGCCGTCTCCTCTCGCCGTCTCCTCTCGCCGTCTCCTCTCGCCGTCTCTTCTCTCGCCGTCTCCTCTCGCCGTCTCCTCTCTTGCTGTCTCTCCTCTCGCCGTCTCCTCTCGCCGCCTCCTCTCTCGCCGTTTCTTCTCTCGCCGTCTCCTCTCGCCGTCTCCTCTCGCCGTCTCCTCTCGCCGTCTCCTCTCTCACCGTCCCCTCTCTCGCCGTCTCCTCTCGCCGTCTCCTCTCGCCGTCTCCTCTCTCGCCATTGTCTCTCTCGCACACCGCTGTAAGGTCACCGTGCTACAGCCGCTCTGATCCCTCCATTACCGCAGCCGTTGGCAGATTACACGCCTGGACCCGCGGCTCCACCACAAAGTCCTTCTTCATCCAAACTATGATTAATGCCTGCGGCGCGGACAGCTTGTTTGTTTCCACGCCTTCTCTCCCAGGTACGGAAGCACGAGCCCCACTTCACATGATGTATTTGAAATAAAAACTTGTCACGGAAATACGTCGTAAAATGTCTCTGGGAGAAGCCGTCAGTGCCGGAGCATGCTGGTTTGGCAAAACAGACTTTTGAAAGTTCTGGAAACAACTCAAGTCCTAAGTGTATCTGAAACGGTTGTTTTGTGTTTTACAATAATTGTTATTTTTCTTGCTTTTTCCTGCCTGAGATGTTCCTGCAGTTCAGTGTTCATGGTTTTACACTGGTCCAGACCAGAGCAGAGAGGATTCATGGTTTTACACTGGTCCAGACCAGAGCAGAGAGGATTAATGGTTTTACACTGGTCCAGACCAGAGCAGAGAGGATTAATGGTCCGAACCAAGTGGATCAGGAGAAAATCCACTGGAGGAATGCTAACTTTATTAAAAATGCTAGTGAAGCATTTATTATTCATAAGATGAAGAGAGTGGTCGTTTAAAGGTCCCACAGCGGGGAAATGTCAGTGTTGCATCACAAGTCAGAGAACAGTAATAACACATAACACATGAAAAATGAACAATAGAGAGAAATAGTAGGGATCCAATCGTTTAAATCTGCAAAAGGAGTGCACCCCTCCCCTGAAATGAAATGAGTACAGTGGTGTGGTCAGACCAGTTTGCTGATGGTTGGAAGAGACGTTGAAATTGCAGATTTGGCAAACTTGACAACTTTTCCTGGAGTCAATGAAGTTTCACAAACACTTTTGACTTCTTGAGAGTAACTTCTGCGGATGTAGAAGACGGCCTTTGACTTCTTCACTGCTCTCTTTGGGTTCTTTTTTTTTTGCTCAAAGAAAAAAAACACACTTTTTCTTTTTCATTTTTATTCTCAAGGACTCGAATCAACCTTGGGCTGTTGAAGGTTTGCAGAAGGTCGTCTATTCTACTCCACCAAATGATCAAACTGAATCTGCTTCGTTTTTGTTCAGCGGTGGAAGAAGTTCTCAAAAGTACATTTGTAGAAGTGCCCCTTTCATAGTGAGAGTGAGAGGTCAGTTTCTTCAGGGACCGACGACCTGGATTATGAAGCTGTTTGGACGGGAGCTGAAGTTGGCTGGAGGATGAATGACAATCTTACCAGCTTTATTAATGCTATTAAATCTGAAAGAAGAATCATTCAACAAAAACTCTAGAGTACAAAGACAAGAACATCTCGAATGTAAGCATAATAAAGAAGTTGGTATAACACCTCCTCTACACCTCCTTTACACCTCCTCTACACACCTCCTCTACACCTCCTCTACAGCAGCTAGGATCTTAACAGGTACCAAAAGGAGAGAGCACATAACTCCGGTGTTAAAATCACTCCACTGGCTCCCTGTGGAGTACAGAATAAAGTTTAAAATCCTTCTCTTAACATATAAAGCCATAAATGGCTTGGCTCCTTCCTATCTCCAAGACACGTTAGTGTCGTATCAACCAGGTCGAGCGTTGCGCTCACAAAACGCCAGACGTCTGGTGGTCCCTAAGGTCTCAAAAATCACTGTTGGCGGCAGAGCATTTATATTATATATTATATTATATATTGCTATTCACCCGTTGTCCCATTGTCTGTTTCATGGTACGATGACGGGATCTCTGAGCCATCTCAGGGTTCACGTCCTGTAGCTAGCTTAGGTCCTGGATCATTAGCCTGTCCGTCCGGAGGAGCGGATCCCTTTCTCATATGGGTCTCCCTCCCTGTGGGTTTCCCTAGTTCTCCCCAAGGTTTCTCACTTTTTCCCACTGGGTTTTTTAAGAGTTGTTCCTTGTGGATGCAGGAGGGTCTTGTTGGACAGTTAGTGTCCAACAGAAAGGATTGGTGATGATCAGGACACTTTAGCATTCTACAACATGTATGGACATTTTCTTCTGTGTGTGCTTTATATTCTTCATGTGTTTTAACTGTTGATTCTCTGACCTGTGTTGGTGATTTCAATGGTTTTGTTAAGTCTCTGAGATGACTTCTGTTGTGACCTAGGGCTATACAAGAATACATTGTATTGTATTGTCTCTACACCTCCTCTACAGCCTCCCTACACCTCCTTTACACCTCCTCTACACCTCCTCCACACCTCCTCTACCCCTCCTGTACACACCTCCTCTACACACCTCCTCTACAGCCTCCTCTACACTTTCTCTACACCTCCTCTACAGCCTCCTCTACACCTTCTCTACACCTCGTCTACACCTCCTCTACAGCCTCCTCTACACCTCCTTTACACCTCCTCTACACCTCGTCTACCCCTCCTCTACAGCCTCCTACACCTCCTTTACACCTCCTCTACAGCCTCCTACACCTCCTTTACAGCCTCCTACACCTCCTTTACACCTCCTTTACACCTCCTCTACATCTCCTCTACACCTCCTCTACACCTCGTCTACCCCTCCTCTACATCTCCTCTACACCTCCTCTACATCTCCTCTACACCTCCTCTACACCTCCTCTACATCTCCTCTACAGCCTCCTACACCTCCTTTACACCTCCTCTACAGCCTCCTACACCTCCTTTACACCTCCTCTACACCTCGTCTACACCTCCTTTACAGCCTCCTACACCTCCTTTACACCTCCTCTACACCTCGTCTACCCCTCCTCTACATCTCCGCTACACCTCCTCTACATCTCCTCTACACCTCCTCTACACCTCCTCTACATCTCCTCTACAGCCTCCTACACCTCCTTTACACCTCCTCTACACCTCCTTTACACCTCCTCTACACCTCGTCTACACCTCCTCTACAGCCTCCTACACCTCCTTTACACCTCCTCTACACCTCGTCTACACCTTCTTTACAGCCTCCTACACCTCCTTTACACCTCCTCTACACCTCGTCTACCCCTCCTCTACAGCCTCCTACACCTCCTTTACACCTCCTCTACAGCCTCCTACACCTCCTTTACAGCCTCCTACACCTCCTTTACACCTCCTCTACAGCCTCCTACACCTCCTTTACAGCCTCCTACACCTCCTTTACACCTCCTTTACACCTCCTCTACATCTCCTCTACACCTCCTCTACACCTCGTCTACCCCTCCTCTACATCTCCTCTACACCTCCTCTACATCTCCTCTACACCTCCTCTACACCTCCTCTACATCTCCTCTACACCTCCTCTTCATCTCCTCTACACCTCCTCTTCATCTCCTCTACACCTCCTCTACATCTCCTCTACACCTCCTCTACACCTCGTCTACCCCTCCTTTACACCTCCTCTACATCTCCTCTACACCTCCTCTACACCTCGTCTACCCCTCCTCTACATCTCCTCTACACCTCCTCTACATCTCCTCTACACCTCCTCTTCATCTCCTCTACACCTCCTCTACACCTCCTCTACATCTCCTCTACACCTCCTCTCTGGATAATTCCCGTCTGCTTTTACACATCTCTCTCCAGTAACGGATGCGAGCACAGATCTCGCACTTATCCATTCTCTTAACCAGCGTCTGTCTCCCAATGCATGCTGGGACACCATCCATCCCCATTTGAAGTAACAGCAGATGAATATGACACCTCCCCACACCCCCCACCTCCCCCCGGCACCATTTGTTGCCTTCTCGAGTCAGACTGAGTTGAAAAAGCCGTAGAAAGGCTTCTCTCTGTGAGGATAAGAACGCTGACTCGGAGATTACGAACCACGCATTGCATTAAAATCACACGCAGCTGGTTTTCATGCACAATTCATGCTTTGGTGGGACGCGAACAGATGAACAGATGTAGTGGCGCGAAGTCGGCTTTTTTTGGACTTGTAAAAATGGAGATGATTGTGTGAAACAGTTTGGCTCGTCTTTGTGCAGTGAAGTGTGTGGGAGAAAGGGTTTTTTGTGTTTTTGGATCCGGAGAGAGGCCGGTGAAGAGGAGGCTATCACAGGCTCGCAGCTGTAATTGGATTTTCTGCAAACCAGGAGATGGACCTCGACTGTGTGTCGTGAGAGTGCGTCGCTTTGAAGGGTTTGGATCTAAATATTTGGAGAAATTCAAAACAAATATATTACATGATACGATACAATACTATGTATTCTTTCCTTCGGCAAGGAAAAACTCTAAAACCCAGACTGTAGAACGAGGACTGAGGCTGTAGATCCAGGACCTAAGCTACAGGACGTGGACCAGCGGCCGCTGAACGTGGACAAGTCCGGTGCAGGATTGAAGCACTCCCAGGCGGGTCGGGCAGGGCAGGTGTAGATGGAAGAGCCAGGTCCTGAGCTCCTGTCGTCGCACCATGAAACAGATAATGGGACAACGGGTGAATAGCAATGAACAGACTACAGTAAAAATCATAATAATGCTAAACAGATAAAGTAGGAAGGAGGAGAGGATAGTGCTCAAGTTACCATACTTCGCCAGCAGGGGGCTCCCTATGCAGCTTGACTGACAGTCTAAGAAGTTTAGCCTTCCCTGAGTCTTACCTTCCTAGCCATATGCTAAACTAAAGAGGACTGTTTTAGCCTAGCCTGGAACGTAGTGTTGAAGATGCAGCGGACCGGGTCCCACGCAAGCAGACTCCAAGACCAGACAAGACCTGACCGGACAACAACCGAACCAAATGCTTGAGTGTTTTAAGCCTGGCCTTGAACGTAAGGACCAGCATAACACCAGGAGAAAGACTTTTCTTGATCTCACTTCTTAACCTGTTTTTCTCCGCAGATTGCAGTAAACACTGCAGGTTGTTTGTTTGAGAAGCCCTTTGACTTCTCCTTTGCTCCCTTTAGGTTTGTTTTTTTGCTCAAAGAAAAACACTTTTTTTATGTAACGAAGACATCTTTACTTATACAGCGCATTTTTACAGACTGGTCTTGGTCTTGTATTGACCTGTCTCTGATGAAACCACATTTTTGTTGGAATCACGGTGATTTCAGTCCCTGCTTCCATCAATTCATTTGCTGTGTTTTCTTTCCTCTTCCTTTCTTTCCTCACGGACAAACATCAACGGTTGGTCTTGAGGTTCCCGACCCAAATCAACCAAACCCGTGCACTCCCGGCTCCAATCCCACGTCTCTCTCTTTGTTGGAATCATCCACTTGGCAACAACCTCCGGCAAACAACAGCGGCCGGAGGTTGACTTTCTCCGAAGCTTTTAGTGCCACGTCGACTCGCCGTAGGTTCAGTTTGTTTTGGATCCGGCCTTGAAAACACAAAACCCCGCAGATAACACCAATAAATAATGTGTATTTTTTACCGTGTGCAAAGAGGCGACCCAGGGAATTGAAAGATTCCTGAGTGCGGCCTTGACAAAACCAAACAGAAGAATAATCGCTGTGAAAATGTGAAACTCAAAAGCAGGATTTTTGGATTGAAAAGATTGCGACATGAATGTGTTTACAAGCTCCACGGAGAATAGCACATTTGATATTAGGCCACGGAGGTGAAATAACCAGGCTCAGCACAAGAAATTGCCTTTTTAGAGAGGAATTATGTTGACACGATGCAGACAATGAAATGCATTTGTGCGAAATAGGATGCAGGCGGTTTGCTGATGACGGACTGATTAGGACCGGGTTCAGGACGACGCGTGAATTCAGTTCAAATGTGTTGGAATAACTTTGTCCAGCTCCAGTGTCTGTCTGTGCAGCGGCGGGAGTGTAATCTGAGCTTCATGTTCAATCCAGAGAGACTCGAACTGAGAAAATGTGGGTATTATTAGAACGATATGTTGTTTGGCAGTAATCTGACATTATATAAAAGTGTTGTCTGCAGAAGATCAACCATTTTCTCAGACAAAAACAGCGTGTTGTGGACTCGTTTCTTCAGAACTTTTTGTAAAGGGGAAAAAAAGTCATCATTCAAAGTGGTAAAAAACAGCTTTTATTTTATATTTTGGCTAGAATTTCCATTTTCCTTTTATGTATGTTAGCAATTAGGGCAGGGATGTCAAAGTCAAAAACATCAGAGGCCAAAAAAACTAATTTGTTACAAGCAGAGGACTGGTTTAATGTTAAATATATATTAAAATGATGCATAAAACCTTTGAACCGAGACATAATTTATGTAATGATTAAATGTATAATCCAATATTTTTGTGGTTGTTTCTGTACATTTCAAGTGAAAACATTTGTCGACAGCTCAGCAACAAACTTCCTTCAAAGAGAAAACACATGAACATTAAATGAATAATCCAATGTTTTCTTCAGTCTCTGTGCGGCCGGTTCTAAAACTGATCAAACATCGTCCCGGGGCCACTTGACACTTATGATTCAGGGTATAACAATACTTATTTGGCTGTCAAACTGTTTGTCAAATTACTGCAAAACTCTCCATCTTTCCAATTCTGAGTCAAAGTCCAGACTCAGACACTTTTGTAATTCCTTCCAGTTTGCACCTGGAGCCTTCTGCCGTCAATCCTTTTGCTTATCAACCCAACTGCACCAAATCCACCAAATCCCTGGACTTTACACACACGGTTTAGCCTCTTTGCCTCCTCCTCCTTTAGACACCAGCCTTAGCCTAGTTACAACTATCTCCCGTCCTCGCTGTCACAAATTGGCAACGCGCTGCGACCGCGTGCTAAGCTAACAGGGATAATTCCTCTTCTGCGAGTTTTGTGAAGTTCATATTGTCATCCAAATCCTCAGTCAGTGCGAGGCCCCGTCTTAATCCGCTGAGCATAATGTACATCGGAATTAACATTTCCCATTCCTCCAGACGCCATTGTGCGCACCCGCAGACGGGGGCCATTGTTAGGAGCAAGAGCAACCGAAAGTCGAGCAGCGATGGTGGCGAAGGCAACAATCGCGCTAATTAGTTCAGAATGTGTTTTACAACTCAGCAAAGTGTGCGGAGATTAGCTGTAATTGTTCGTTTTGGAGGAAGTTTAAAAAGACAGTCCCAGGAGAAGAGTCGTTACCGGGTTCTGACGGTGGGAGTCCATGGAACACACGTGTGTCACGTCCGCAGCTGTCAGCCGAGGCTTTTGGAGATGTTTTGGGTTGTTTTAGTCTGGTCTTACCATCGGACACTAACAACTCTGTGGAGGAGGTGAGGGACAGGAGGCCCCTGGACTCTGTGGAGGAGGTGAGGGACAGGAGGCCCCTGGACTCTGGAGGAGGTGAGGGACAGGAGGCCCCTGGACTCTGTGGAGGAGGTGAGGGACAGGAGGCCCCTGGACTCTGTGGAGGAGGTGAGGGACAGGAGGCCCCTGGACTCTGTGGAGGAGGTGAGGGACAGGAGGCCCCTGGACTCTGTGGAGGAGGTGAGGGACAGGAGGCCCCTGGACTCTGTGGAGGAGGTGAGGGACAGGAGGCCCCTGGACTCTGTGGAGGAGGTGAGGGACAGGAGGCCCCTGGACTCTGGAGGAGGTGAGGGACAGGAGGCCCCTGGACTCTGTGGAGGAGGTGAGGGACAGGAGGCCCCTGGACTCTGGAGGAGGTGAGGGACAGGAGGCCCCTGGACTCTGTGGAGGAGGTGAGGGACAGGAGGCCCCTGGACTCTGGAGGAGGTGAGGGACAGGAGGCCCCTGGACTCTGTGGAGGAGGTTCATCCCCAGATTGTACAAAAAGTCACTCTTAGTCACTAATGCCCTCGGACTGAAGAACCTGCACTACTATTGCCACTTTTTCTTTTATTACCATATACATAATCATATCCTGCACACACTATATTTAACCTTCAACATCTTTTACACTTCTGTCTTTTGATTGATTTGATTCTGTCTGTGACAAATGTGACGTGTACATTTCTCTATCACAGATCAATAAAGTCTATTTTTTCTTGATTTCATTTCATACTAAGGACTGGATTGGTTCCATTGACTCCGTTTGCAGGTGGGAGGGGTTAACTCCTTTGGCAGATTGATCTTAACCACATGTTAAATTGGGAGATCTTTATCAAATATGCTCCGCCTTCGTGTACAAGATCCCACATGGTTTTGCACCCACAGGAATTTGTTCGGAAAAATATATGATCAGAATCACAAGAGCAAGTTCTCGGGGAACTGCCTTCACCGAGACGTCTCCACCCGCGCCCCAGACCTGGAACCAAATCCCAAACTCTGTCCGTGAACCATCATCACTCACTCTTTCATCCACAGCTGAAGTCCTGGCCCCGGGACAAGAGCTGCCAACATGGCCGGCCGGTAACAAGGCGAACAAGTGCAATGGGCATGTGCAATAGTGGGTTATGTGCAATATAAGTTTATGTGCAATAGATTATGTGCAATAGTTGTTTGTGTGCAACGGTTTCTGCTTTCGAAAATGAATGGCCCTACGCTGGGACACTGTATGAATTCCTGTTACTGTTGTTTTTAACTGCTGTATTTTCATTGGGACCTGTGACTCCACCCCCTGTGACGCCGGCCCCTATGACCCCACCCCCTGTGACGCCGGCCCCTGTGACCCCACCCCCTGTGACGCCGGCCCCTGTGACCCCACCCCCTGTGACGCCGGCCCCTGTGACCCCACCCCCTGTGACGCCGGCCCTTGTGACCCCTCCCCCTGTGACGCCGGCCCCTGTGACCCCTCCCCCTGGGACTCCGCCCACAGTGACTCCGCCCCCTGGGACAACAGATGAACGTGCCAAAATACAAGATTGGATCTGAGTTTACCGTATGTAATTCCGAGTGAGTGAGGCCTTTAGCAGAACATGTTGCATTTAGTCGTTTATGTTTTGGACCTGTATCACATGGTGTTTGATAAGGAAAAAAAAAATACAGCTGTCAATCATAAAAACAGGATCGAGGTCAGTTCTTCACGTCAGTTTTTCTTCCGTTAATTTGAGGTCCTGAACTCAACAACACAATCCTTGTCAGATCCAGGTATTTTAGTCAAATGCGAGTTTTTCCGTTTGTTTCTGCTCCGAATGCAAACACGGCACTAATCAAACCAGAACCAGGAGAAGCGAGGCCCGAGGCACAAACCGGATCATTCCAGGACGACGCTTTGTTGTTTCACATTAGACCATTTTCAGAATTAAAACCAAATTATGGCTTAAAAATATGTGCCGGAGGAAAGATGCTGCAAATGTGAGAAATCATAATTGGGGTTTAAAATAATTCATTATTTATTGTTATGGAGAGAGCAGCAGAAGGATCAAGTCGGGAATTTAAAACAGAGACATAATCTGAACATTTTAATAGCGTTTTGGTAAAAAAAAGGATTATTCTTGTTACTTTGTTTGCAGTAAGTGAATTGTTGTTTCCCTGGGGTCAAAGCTAGTTTTGTCGATGTGCGGTTAAAGCTGAGGTCCTGAACTTTCAAACAACAAACACTGAACTACTGTGTGTACAAAACCACACACGTCACACACAAACCCATTTCACTCCTGTGCATTCCAAGGTAGCCGAGCCTTAGACATCTGTAAACTCTGGTCAATCATCTAAAGCTAGGCTAAATGCTACAGCTAGGCTACATGCTAAAGCTAGGCTAAATGCTAAATGCTTCACTCACTCAGGCTCATTACATACTGTACGTCACAGTAAACTCAGATCCAATGGTTTCAATCTGCAAAAGGAGTTAACCCCTCCCACCTTTTAATGGACTCAATGGAGCAGATCCAGACCTTAGAACGAAATGAAATGAGTACTGTGGCATGACCAGGGTGGGTCAGATGGGGAAATCTCGCAAAATCTCTAGAGATCAAGCATGACTTCAGAGTAAACCGTCATGGCAGACAAAGAGGATGCAGTGTTGATAGTTTGGAGTTTGTTTTTAACAGTGAAAAAGCTTTATCGAAAGAAAAGGTCAAAGACAAACACAAGCTCGGACTGTCCTCCATCACCGACGTGAACAGGACTTTCTGCCGCTGACTGTTAGGATTTGTTTTCTCTGTGTTTCCTCGCCGCCTCGTCACCTCGTCTTCTGATTGGCTACAGGCCGCAGTCACTGGTAACGTGCTCGTCTGTCCCCGACCCCACTCACCAAGAGACAACGGCCAAAACAACATGTTGGATATCCCAGAGCACCGCGGATCCAAGATGGCGCCGATTATAAATGAATGGATTGTGCTCAGTGGCACCCCCCCATGGCCACCGAAAGATTAGCGGAACTCTCCCATATTTGGGCATCGTCCGGTCCTCCCAGTTCTGTGCTGTGGACGAGCTCCCATGATGCTTTGTGCAAAATATACGCGTGTGGCTCTCATGCACGTGCACATAGGGGCTCGGCCGCGCTTTGACCAATCAGAGGGCAGCGTTCTGACCAATCAGAGCTGCTGATCAGAGCGGGAGTTAGAGAGGGAGCCAAACGAGCAGAGTTTGTGGCAGTAAAGTGTAGATTTAAAAAAAAGCCAAAGGATTTAAGAAGAAAAAAAGTTCAGGATGACAAAGGACACTAAAATACCCACAAAATCCAACCTTTATGAAAGCTGTAGGTTCTCTGTCAGGTTCTCTGTCAGGTTCTCTATCAGCTGAGGTCGAGCTGTTGTAGTTTACATTGAGTTCTATAGGGAACATGTCTGTGTAGCCCACATGAATTCAGTCTGGTTTAGTCTGGTTAAGTCTGGTTTAGTCTGCAGTACTGCGAGAATCCCCCGAGCTTATGGTCCTTCAGCTCCAAGCTGTAACGCTCAGTTATAATAATAGATCCATGGATATGCCTCATTTCAGATCGGCGCAGTCCCAAAGTCCTTCTGACGATCGCAGTCATAACACACCACACAAGGAAGATCCAGCAGATTATTTTACCAAAATCTGAGCGTTTTTAACATTATCGTTAGAGGTGACTCGGATCTTAAATCAGACTAATTCTCCTGCCGGGTGAACCTTTACTTAAAGTCTTGTGTTCAGACGACTGGAGCAGACGTCTTGTTTTCGGTTCATAAGATTCATTTCCTGGTTTCATTTGGGTTTGTTTTTCCCGGCGACAGAACGCCGTCAGCAGCGGTGACCTCCAACACTCGCATCAAAGTCACAGAAATAGAAAGAAAACAACAAAAGGCATTTCAAGGCCCATTGATCTAACGACGCTGTCCAGGAAATTCCTCGACACATTTGCAACTTCATTAGCTGTGGGCCGCTCTACCTGCTGCTGAGAGCCACTGTCATCTTCGCTTCTAATCGGGATATAACGTGGCTGCAGCAAAGACACAAAACACAAATGATAACGTTTTGTTTGGAGATGTAGAGATTATGAAAAAGGAAAGAAAAGTAAATCTGTTTTTTACAATGTTATATAATTAAACATGGTCTTCCTGCTGTTCACCCATGCACTGTGGTGAGAAGCCCTGGTCGGGTCTTCGAACCGAGTCAGACCAAGTTCAGTGTGAAAAGCCATTTTGAGAATTAGGAGACAAACAGGTGTAAGTGACTAAACTAAACTAAACAGAGATGGGAGACGACGCCAGAGAAAAGTCTGTATTTTACTGATGCTGAAGAGATTTATTCACAAAAATAACGTAAATTATGCTTATTTTTTTAGAGGCAGTTTTTTGTTGTTGTTTGAATGTAGATTATTTGACTAGTTTTAAGAAAATAATACTTCACAATCTTATAAAGTCTGAGCAGTGAGTTTTTAAGCGTGCTTTAAGTATTTTTTTCATATCTCCAGACTTTTCTTGTGTAGAAACAATAAGTTTGTGATGCTTATTTATCTATTTATTAAAGGGACAATGCAGATTAATAAACATTATACGTTATATTTTGCATCTGTAGTTCCCGGACAGTTGTGTGTCCTCCTGAAGGGAATAAAGTTACACATAACACAATCAGATGAAACATAAGACAGTAATATATGCTGTATTTTAAGAAAACATTTCTCAACAATTTTTAAGTAAATATTTATAAGTCATATTTTTTTCTTCTATTTCCAGATCATTTTTTATCATTTTAAGCAGCATTTTACTTATTTTCATATACATTTTTTTTTTCTTAAGTTTTTCAGGAGATTTCTTTTAGTGCAGCACGACCACACGCACTGCAAAAAGTGAAGAGAAATAACTGAAAAATGTGTCCAATCTGGTAAAAACGCATCTTAATCTGAGCACATTATAGATTCTCCAACTAATGTCTCTTTTTTAATGAGGAAACAAAGCCACAGTTCTGGAAATACGACTGAAACATTTGTGTAAAAACTCGATTCTCCGACGGGAAAATGGATTCAAGACATTATCACCTCACATTTGATCATTTTGATGGATTCATAAAGGTTTGGTCTTGGTCTCGGTCCATAAAGTGGCAGAGGGACCACTTCTCGTCTCTGTCTCTTCTTCTTCTTCTACTCTTCTCCGTGGTTGGATCGGTGGCTGGTTGTCATGGAGACGCACAGACCCGGTTTGTGTTGGCTCCATGTTTCCACTCAGACTCAGACCGGGGCCAGAACATACAGAACTCAGGCTGTTCCTCACAAATCTGCGCCGCACACGCAACATCTCTCTATTTACTTCATGTTTCCGACCATTTTGGTTTTTCCAAGATAAAGTTTTGTTATTTTTACCTTTGGTGGATTTGATGTATTGTGCATGTTTTGGGGAGTGGGGAAAACCGCAGCACCTGGAGGAAACCCACCCAGACACAGGCAGAAACTAACCAGACACAGACAGGCCCGGACACTGTTAAAAGTCATTCAATTCAAGTAACTTTATTTAAACGTTCATTCGCAGACGGAGTAGCAGACGGGGACTCAAAACACAGCAACACAAAATGTAAAATATAATTACAAAAGATGCAGAAATACAGTATATAATGCATAAAACTAATCAAACAATTATTTATTTATATAGCACAATTGGCGTACAAATACATTCAAAGTGCATCACAAGAGCAATTTAAAAACTTGGATCAAAATGCATTAAAAAGTTAATGAAAAATACACTAATTTCATAATAAAACAAAGGTTCGTCTGTATTTATTTTTTTATGTGTGTATATGTGTCCTTTTATAGTTTCTTGTGTTGCTGAGATCTGGAGCATGTGTCAGAATATGTAAAAATAATAATAAAAAAGATTTGCATTAAAACAGAGGGGATTAAATCTCATTAAAATGTGGTTTAAAACAGGAGGATAATAAAGCAATAAATAGTACAAACTAGAATCAGACGTATGCACAGGTGAAAGATGTGTTTTCAGCCTAGTCTTGAACAAGGTCGAGCAGAGGCCTGTCTCACAGCCTCAGGAAGACTGTTCCATGTCCGAGCTGTTTAAAGACCTTATGCCGGGTTTGATTTATTTAGAAATACAGTTTTAATACCATTTTATATTAGAAGAGAACTACTAAAGGTTTCAAAATCAGTTGTTGTTTTTTTTGTCTGATCCCCCCAAATCAAAATAACCCCATAGCAACGCCCTTAGAGACGAAAAAACTTCACAGCCCTTGGTGACGTTAGAGTGGGTACGTTTCAACGCTGTAAGTTGTTTATAATTTGGTATTCGTTCTTTTTTCGCGGATATTCAAGATGACAAGGCCATGTACAGCGAGTGTGATATAACTACTAGATTGTAACACTTCATTGTCACTGAGATAGTCCAGAGGTTGTGTCGATGGACTGCCAATACAGACACTGGGGTTCAAATCCCACCTCAGACACTTTTTCACACTCAAAACGGCAATTTATGTGTAGTGAGCAATTGTCACCTGTAGAGGGCAGTATTGTGTTGGGCATCAGTGGAGAGAAGAGAGAAAAGGCAGTCCTGTGGCATAGATCCATGGTTTTCAATGCATGGGCGTAACCCGCTGTGACGTCACACACAGGTTAGAGCATAGACAACTTAAATTCATGAAAAACACGTTATTTTTATAAAATATAGGATTTTTTTTGCCGGAATCTCTTTCAGATTGACATTGTCATGCAATTTTGATATCCACATTTTTTTTTTTTTTAAACCCGGCATAAGGTCTTTAAAGGGGGGTCGAGAAGGGAGGAGGCTGGGTGTGGTCCTTTTTGTATTGAAAGAGAGGGACCTGAACCTACGTCCTGATGGGAGCAGACTCTAATGTAAATGTGCACTTTATTGATCCCCGTAGGGCATTTCATCCTCTGCCTTTGACCCTGATGCCCTAAGGCTTACGTCAGGAGCAGTGGTCGCCGTAGTAACAGCGCCCGGGAACCCATCTCCAGATGTTGATGCTCGGCTTGGTCAGGACCGGAGCTGGAGGATTTAACCTAGTGAGCTAGTTTTTAGTGGTAGTGGAAAGCGGAGCACCCGGAGGGAACCTACGCATGACACGGGGAGAACATGCAAACTCCACTCAGAAAGGCCCTGTTTCAACCGGGATTCAAACCCAGGAGGCCCAAATGAACTTGAGCCACAGGGGAATTGTGTTGTCACACAATTGTTATTTAGGGAAAGCCTCGTAAGATCCAGCACCTTATTTTCAAGAGTGTCCCATGGATATAAAACAAACACAAAACAAATAATTCACATTCACACATTTAACTCACACAGGACACACTTTCTGCTCAGATCCCGCTCCGCCCTCTACAAACAATACTACCTTCAGAACACATAGATCTGTGTCAAATAATCTGAGACAGGCCACACACACACAGCAGGAGAATTATACAGATTCAAATGTTTCCTCACTTCTTTTTAAAACATTTACTCTGCATTTTTTACCATGGAAATGTGGTTCTGTCCCATATGAAAAACACACACAAAAACACACATTATTATTTGTATTGTATTTATTTATTTAGTTTTCGGACAACACAGTCACCAAACATACACTGACAATATGTACATACAAAACATAACATTACGGGTAAGACAAAAGACAAAAACATTAAAATGATAAATACCGTACTGACAGAACACATTATGACTTGAGCAGAACGTCCTAAAAACACACACAGAGTTGTTTTTTCCGTCTCCTGCAGCCGTAGGAGGCACAGTGTTTTTAATGTGATTGTATTTACCGCACACAGAGGTCGCCGAGGCAGTTTATGAGGGCGGCCATTTTCAAACCTGATTGTGGCTCCCCCGGGTCAGGGCCGGCGGGTTATTGGTTCAGATTTACTCACTCACCGCAACAAAGACAGATGCGGAGGATGGGTCCAGTTAGAGTCTGATAGAGAGCTTTTAAAGAACACATATTATTATTATTATTATTAGTGTTATTATTTTGGGCCTTGACATCATTACTAGGCTTTTTAACATTGAGGGTTGCCAGCTCCAAATATCAAGAAAGCGAGAGAGCTAACCACTCAGCCGCCAGGAAGAGGAGAGAATAACACATGCTGCTTTACAGTTATACATATATATAGCACTCTCGCTTCTCAGCAAGAAGGTCCTGGGTTCGAATCCCGATCGGAACAGTGCCTTTCTGAGTGGAATTTGCATGTTCTCCCCGTGTCTGCGTAGGTTTCCTAAATAAAATAAAATAAATAAAAGTAAAATGTGCTATATAAATAAACATTACTTACTTACTTACTTAACTGATTTCTCACTTACGTCTTCATAAATCTAGAGTCAAACCCTTCTCCTCCTTCTCCTCCTTCTTCTCCATTCTACGCACAAACCTCACCCTCCTAATTCAGAGATCAGCAAACCCTCCAGCGTAATCCCGTGTATTCCCGGGGTCGTCATGGCGATAGTAATTGATTGAAATCTTCCCGTAACCTCCATTTTGAGACCTTTTGCTCGTCTTTGTCTCGTCCCCGTCCGCCTCTGTCAACACATCAGCCCATCTGCCGGGAACTCGCCAACGCCGTCCTATATCTGCTGTCATTTCTCATTACAGCGATACCATCACTCCTTACACCGTGTAATTGGTAAATGGTAATTTCTTAGAGGGGGAAAAATTCTTGGGGAGTGTGAGGGGTGGAAGGGAGGAAGTGTGGGGGAGAAAATAAATCTACTTTTGATTTGAGATTATGACATGAAGCGATGACAGGGGCTTAAGCGTCTC